CTCAAGATCGTTCACAGTTAGATAATTAAATAACGAATTGAAGTATTTAACTCTGTCATTGAGAGACGAGAGAGTATCAGAAGAGAAGGAGCTGAAAGAAGGAATACTTCAATACAAGTTTCAAGTTTAACACTACTATGATTTAAAAAATCTGGATTAGCGTATTTCTAATTGATATTTACAGTAAAATAGTTCTAGATTTATTATGAATCATTGACTTTTAACAGATACCTGATTATAAATAGTTACAATACAAGGCCATATACTTCGATTATTAACCTCTTGAATACCACTGTCTTCAGACTAAAGACAAGCAGAATGGAAAAAAAAATCGTACTGATGTCGTATCGGAGAATATATATGTAACAGGACGCAAGGGAGAGTGATTTTTTACTTTTTATTTTACGTCGTGCACAGCACAAAACTCGTTAGAATATAGAAAGTTTATAATATTGGTAGACTGTATGTATTCTAATCTTCTTATACTTGGGTTATGATCGCGGGAGAAGAATACTTTTATAAGCAGCAGTATATTTGTTTCTTTCTGTTTATATACAATTCAGTACGTGATAGTATACTGTTCTTTTCTATTTATGACGAACGACTTTGCCTTTTATATGAATCTTTTAGTTTATAAATTTATGATGAAGACAAAACATGACGAAACATTTACTATGAAGCAACAATCAAATAATACTCGCATTTTCATTCAAGATAAGTTAACAGCAACAAAAAATCCACGATATTTTCTTTTACTTATTTCACCTATAACATGGCTCAAATGTTTTGCACTCATCTTTTATCGCAATCGAGCACGAACACGTTCCAAAGCAATACTCCAGTATTTCATTCTTCTATTGGCAGTTTTGCTTATGACTGCTTCCTGCTATCTTTCTTACGTATTGGCAGATGATGTAGGTCAATATAGTCTATAGCTGTCTAATGTTGCTTCGAATATGACATCGATGATTGAAGGAAAAAACTTATTTGATGAACTTATCTGGCGCACCGTGCTCAAGACATTCTTTCTTGGCGTCGTCTTTGGTCTTATTCAAGCATGTAATCTTTTCTTAGCTGCTCAATGGCGCCAACGACTTTGTGAACGCTTTCAAGAATTATTGCTTCGATCACCCAATGGATGTGTATTGTATGATATAGTGCAAACAAATGAAAACATATATAATGTGATTACAAACGATGTGAAACAGTTTACAAGTAATTTTGCTTCTGTACTTTTTGGATGTATGTTCTTCAAGAGTATTATCTCCATATTTGCTTTGATTGTTATTGCTTGCGTGTTTATTGTACGTATAACAAATGGAGATTCAAGTGGTATTCTTATTTGTTTTGTGGCATTTATTTTTTGTATACTGATTACATTACCAGGTACACATGTGTACAATCGAAACTTGGTAACACAGGTAAGATCGAATATTTTTTAGAATAATTGTATGTAGATAGATAAATACTCCTCATAAGAATGATTATCTTCTCATTCTCATGATTTATTTCATAAGGGTGAACTATAAACTTGCTCTATCTTTAGTCGAAACTAAAAGGTCGTTTTTGTTCGTACATGCAACGCATTCAAACTCATGCTGAATGTATCGTGCTATATGGAAGTCAACGAGTAGAATTAAAATATATTCAACGATTGTTATCAGATGTTTGTAACTCTATGTCGATTGGATCTATCGGTTTTGTACTAGTCAATTTTCCCATTCAGTTATCATGTAAGTAAAGAAAATTGTCTTCAATATATATATATATTGAACAAGATCTATAAATCTTGTTACAGACACTATCACCGGATTGTGTACATACACTGTGCCTTCTATAGTATTCTTTTATATTCGAAAAACACAAAGTCCAGAACTAGCACGAAACCTTTTAAGTAAGTAGATAATCGACATGAGGTGAAATATTTTATATATTACAATATTTCATAGCTGCCATTCCATTTTATTCTCTGTTGATCAATCTTCTTAGTCAGCTAATATTTATCATGGAATTCGCCTTAATCACAGTTACAATGGGTGACCATCTATGGACGATACTTAATCATTTAGAGAAGCTGACAAAACAACATCAGAGACGCATCGCTTATGAACAAGAGAGTGGTATTAGACAAGAAGATGCGAATATGTTTATTCTCGATCATCTGAACATTCCTGTTTCAGGTAAAGATTTTCTCTTCGTAGTAACAGATCTACACAAAATGTGTTCATGAATCAGATGTTGTAGGTGCACCATTATTACAAAGTAATGTAAATCTAGAGGCTATACGTGGCCAGTGTGTTCTTATTTCTGGACCAAGTGGATGTGGAAAAAACGTCATTATTTCGCATTTGCGCTGGATTTCAATCCATCGATGCCAAACAGATCATACTACCAGCACGGCGTCATCTTTTGTTTATTCCACAACGACCATATCTTCCACATGGCAGTCTACGTTTTCAAGCTCTCTTTCTTTTAAAAGATCAAAATCTTATCAGTGACAGAGATCTCTTTCAGTTGTTTCAATCAGTCAATCTGCTATATTTACTAGAAAGACATGCATTAGATACAGTAAGTAATAATGAGCATGATTATTGTATGAATAGGTATAAAGTCTTTTTAAAGGTTGCCGATTGGTCGATGGTACTTTCTATGGGTGAACAACAGCGTTTATCTTTCGTTCGCTTACTAGCTCTTTTAACGCTGACACCAAACAAGGATCAATTAGTACAAGAAACTTTAGTTTTTCTCGATGAGTCAACGAGTGCCATTGATATCAAGACGGAACATAAGATTTATCTACATTTGTCTCAACTCTGTGTGTGGTTTGTTACCATCTCCCATCGTTCATCACTCGTTCATCTGCATACAAAGTGGTTGCGATTTTTTCCAGATAGAAATTGTCAACAGGCAATAGAACCAGAACATAAGGAACACCAGGTTTTGTTCTCATCGATAGATACAGATCATGGAGAAAATAAATTAGAAAAACAAGAGAAGGACGAGTATAAATCAATCGAAACAAAACAATTTCAAGTGAGTTTTATTCTATCTTAGATTCTTTTTGTCCATTCATAACCCACTATAAAGTTTTCTTTCTACAAATTGTTTCCTTTCTATTAGTCAATATTCTCAAACGACAACATAATAAACAACTGCGATAATATACCATATACTTATAAGAAAAATGCTTCAGGATGGAAACTCATAGTCAATATATTCAAATTTATACATTTACCATTTCAACCTAATGACACAAAACTCATAGTCGAAGTAAGTAATGATTTTCTCAAGGATCGTTCAATTTTTGTTTTCTATGATAGACAATCATCGCTTGGCTATTGAGTCTCATTATGGCTGGTGTCAATACTTGGGCTTTTTATATTTTCATTGATCGAACTGCAGCATTATATAATGGTCTATCCAGTTATGCCAGTAACTCTATCTCTCTTACTGAAGCGAAACAGTCTATTATATCAGATATTGCCAGCTATATTGTTATCGTGGTGGTAGTACCCACAGCCTATTCGTTAAGTGCTGGTGGTGGTCGAGTATTAGCCTCACTTTATACACGCAGACAATTGAATTATCTCTCACGTTTATTCTTAGATGATTTTAGGGAAGAACACCTAAATAATCTATTGTATTACAGCAGACACATGTCAGAGATACCTAATTTTCTTTCACATGAGATTGCTGAATTGAACACTGAGATCTTCAATTTACTATTTGGACAAGTGTACTACGTTGGAATCATAAGTAAGATTATATAGTAGACATATGACTCATATGAAACAAAAGCTATTATTTTCACAGCTCATGTCGCTTTAAATATCATTCTTTCCGTTGTTCTAAGCAAACAAAATGGCGGATCTATTGGAAATCTGATTGTTTATCTCTTCGGATTTGGCTTCTTCTTTATTACAAATCTCCTCTCGGTTCTTTTCAAAAAATGGAGGACACGCGATGAATCTTAATTCGTTCAATTTCTGAATGCTCATAAAAGAATTGATCTTCAAGCAGAACAGATAGCCCTGTCGGGAGAAAATGTATGTATGGCTGAAGAAAATCAACTTCGACAAAAACTTGATTCATCAGTTCATTCTCAAATTCGTAATGGTTACTTCTTTTCTATTATTGTTGGCGTTGTCAGGCTGTCTATCAAAAGTAGCTCTCTCGTCAGCTACGGTATACCAGCGGCGATCTTCTTTTACACTTATTACACTAAAGGATTGCAAGATCCCACAACAGCACAAACATTCATTACTTTAAGTGTTTATATGCTCAACCTCTACTTATCTGTGAGCTACATCACTTATTTCAGTGATCCTCTAACACGTATTCAAGCGATTGGAATTCGTGTCGTCAATAATCTTGGTAAGTGGATATTCAGATGATTACCCTACTCATTCATGCTATTTGAGAACACGGTGGAAGACGATTCCTTTCTCTTCTTCGTCTTAAATACAACTATTTTTCTTAATGGTAAAATACTATTTAATGCTCACTTTTATATTAGATTTGTCCTAAATGAAAGAAGTTAAAATTACTCCAAAATAATGTTTACTGCCTATGGTGATAATCGAATAAACTAAATAAGAAAAAAGAATTATTTAAAAATAATAGTGACCGATAAATCACGATTGACCACCTTAAATGTGGCGATTTTGGCTACATGAATAGGTTTCAATGTAACTTATCGAATCTGCCACGCAGAGGTACTTTAAGAGTAACCTGTCATAGTACTAACAGATATAAATGATAATCAGTACTCAGTCTAAAAATACTTGACAGAAATATTTTTCGTTTTAATTAACAAAAAGTGATCGATAATGTTAAATTTTAGAACAACTTCGAGGAATTACATGTATTATCGTCGTTTGGCAAACGAGGAGCAAGAACGAAGACAACGGGTGTATATTGAATCGAAAAGGAATGAACCTTCCCTAGTGTTCGAACACGTGGATGTGCGAATACCTAACTCGTCTCATGTTCTTATATCAAATATCAATCTAACACTTCATTCTTCTGACAATCTTATTATCACTGGTTCTTCTGGCTGTGGCAAGTCGACTCTACTTCGTCTTCTTGCAGGTCTCGTGCGCAATGAAACTGATAATAAGAACTCAGTATTACATATAATTCCACGTCAGAATATTGTTATTCTTTGTCAACAGTTACATCTGATAAGAGGAACGCTGAGAGAACAGCTTTCCTATCTTCGATTAGTATGAATATAATGTCGTCATGCAAACTAAAATGACATCTTCTCTTTTTAGGCACATGGATTGAGTTCAGTCACAGATGATAATTATGCTCAACAACTTCTGAATGAATTTAGTCTAGGTCACCTTATAGACCGTTATTCCATGAATGGAAAACGACAAGTTTGGTCCGAACTCCTGTCTATTGGGGAACAACAGCGACTAATGATAGTCAGTGCACTTCTTGTCGGCACAGAAACTGCACGGTTGCTTATTCTTGATGAGACAACATCAGGCTGCGATAAACAAACGGAAGAAGCTATCTATAAATATCTCCAACGATCAAATTTACAATTTATATCTATCTCTCATCGAAAAGAGATTAGCAAATATCATTCACGCCAAATGACGATCGATGCTACAGATACACCAATCCCAACACCAGTTTTCAAAACTCGATTTTGATAGTTTTGGTTACTTTTCTATTATTCTCATACAATTTATCGTCTTCAATAGAACTATAAAGCTAGTATAGTTTTTTTCTTCAGTCTTTATGATGAAATAATTACATATTACTCGGGAAAATCAATCTTTCTAATAAAATACAAAAAAGTACGTTTTGTCACACGTCGTTCATCTTTATACTGTGTTTTTTCTCTTTTCCTCTCATTAGATTTTCTTTGCACTCTTTGAAGTGGATAAGAGAGAGTATTTAATTGGGAAAAAACTCATTAACGCTAACGTAAAGTAATAACCAAAAAAGAAATCAGTTTTTTTCTACATACGTATACATATAGTTGTGTAGATATGGATGTTATTCTGCGAGCAAATGATAGAAAATCAAATTGCACTATATGAGTTTTGTCGAGATTACAAGCAACGATTGAGGAAGAAAAGTAAAGTTGACATTACAGCGATCTTTACTCGTTTGCAAATTTTCACTGCGAATGCTCAACCGAGGAAAACCTTGAAAACGCGTTCTGCATCTGGTCTTCCTTTGAAATTTGAGAGTGTGGATGCTAGGTGAATACAGTATCGATGCCAAAACTCACTTTGCAAGTTTCATCAACTATCGAAATCTCCAATTGCAAACTGGCTTTTCTTACAAAAAAGAAAATTGTTTTTGTTGCATACTATCAAGCGTTTATGAGAATATTTTGAATCAGATTTATATTAAACTGATAGAAAGAACTATTTTTTTTATAGAAAAACAACTTGATCCTGAAACGGTTAAATGATCCCGTCATAAAACAAAAAATCTATATATTTAATTTCAATTCTGTTGTTAATATTTAATATTATCTACTTATAATGTTGACTCATATCCAACAGTACGTAAGAATTTCTAAATTCATTTCGATGTCATAGTCCTTGAAATTTTTTTGTGTCTGTTCAGTTCTAATTAAACAGAACTTTAACTCAGCTCTATAAATGTATCTTCATATCAATTCCTCAAAAATGGAGATGAGTTAATGTGGTTCAGTTCTTTTCGATTCCATTTAGATTGTTTGCTGTTTCATAACAGAAACGTTGTTAGTTATTACCAAACACCAACTGACAACTATCATTCGTTTTGTGATGTCTTTAATAAAAGGAAATAGTACAAACAAGACGAGAAAAAATTAATTATTACTCTTCAATTTATGTATATAATACGCAAGTAGAGCTATTTTATATACATATGAAGGTGAGAGAAAAACGAAACAAAATGAAGAAATAAAAAGAAGAGACGTATAACTAATGTCTTAAAATGCGTCAACATTTTGCTCTAAGTTTTTAGCTGGTCAAGGATTCCATGTTACAACATTGGCTTCCGGAGGTGGAGTAGGAGGCGG